TGAAGGAGTCCCGGGGAGGAATTCGGGCAGGAAGGCCCTCCCTGAGCGCTGGAGGGGCAGCTGTAGGAACCGCCTGTGTCGGGATGGGGCCGGGGCTGGCGGGCCAGCTCAGGAGTCTGGGCGGGAAGCGGGCAGGACGGTCGCTGCGAGACCCCTCAGTCTAGTCCTGGCTCTGGGAAGCCTCGCCAAGCAGCTCGGGAAACCCGGGCAGGGCCGGGAGGCCAGCGGGCACGGGAGCGGACGGCTCACCTGGCTGTTTCTTGGGGGGGACTCAGACCTGCAGGGCACCAGGCCCAGGGCGGAGACCAAGCCCGCCGAGGAGCTGCGAAGCTGGGAGAAGAAGCAGCGCGCCCCGCTCAGGTACGGCGGGCGGATGGGCGGCCGCGAGCACCTGCGCAGCACGTATTGAGCACCTGCTGTGTACCTGCGCCTGAGGGGTTTCCAGTAGAGGCTCCCGTCTGCTCTCTTCCGGAGGGCGGTGATTTCAGAGGACGGGCTCACAAATCTCCACTAAAAAAAAAAAATAATAATAAATAATACCCCTCGAAACTAAATTAAAAAAATAAATAAATATAGGTCTACATTGCTTTATCCAAAACACTTTAGGCCAGGTAGGTTTTGGAATTCAGCCTTTGTTGGTTTGGAAAGGTGCTCCCAGTGTATTTCCTATGAGTTCTATTCGGGGTCTGGCGCACAGTGGTATTGGTGCAGGGAGATGTATGAAGAGTCACACTAAGTGAGGTAAAGACTTGTTCCTTCCCTTCTGTCTCCGGCAGGCTTGGCTGCCCAATGGGTAGTGAAAAACCTTTGTTTTCAGGCTCTTTGGACTTCAGAACTGTGGGTGAGGGGTTGTAGGGCTGCGAGTCCCTTTCCCCTGGTAACTGCAGGGAAGGAAAAGGGGGAGGGAGGAGGAAGACTGTGTAAAGACAGGCGTCGAGCAGACAGTGACATAAAGTAACTGCCGGACAGCGGTCCCGTGGGAGACCTGAGGATGTGTCAGTACCTATGTGGAAAACCCACTCTGGGCTTTGGGGCAGATTACGGAGTCTGCCAGCCTCCATTCAGTGTCTTGGGGGCATCTGCTGCCCACACTCCCTGGGGACCGAGGCGAGAGTTGGGCTGCCTGCCTGTGGCAGGCACGCGCGGTTAGGAGCATGGTTTGGGGCATCCTTAAGATTTGACCGGTGACCCCTGTCCTTTGCTTTGCGCCTGTGCAAAGCTAAGTCCCTATCTAGTCCTAGCGGAAGGCCCAGGGAGGCCAGGCCGGAGTCTCTGTCTCCACTGGCAGGGGAGGAAATGGGGACACAGGGTGCTGAGGTGGTCACTCCTTCCCTTACGAGGCCCAGAAGGAAATGAACGAAGGGTCCAGATGTGTTTGTAACCCCACCCAGGGGCCAGCGCCCACCCGCTCACTTGCCTTCGACAGGTTCCAGGGTGACAGCCGCCTGGAGCAGCCTGGCTGCTACCACCATTGCGTGGATGAGAACATTGAGAGGAGAAACCACTACTTAGATCTCGCCGGGATAGAAAACTACACGTCCCAGTTTGGGCCTGGTAAGGTGGGGTGAGGGGAGGGCGTGGCCAGCTGGGCCAGGCGGGTGGTGGTCACCGTTCCCCCTGGTCTGGGGGAAGAAGCAGCTTCGACTGGGCAGGTTAAAGACGGGAGATGACGTTAAAAACATTTATAAAAATGAAAATGCACGTGCACAAAGTGAACCAAATCAAATAGCATCTGAGGGCTCATTATACAGTGGAAAGCAAAAGAGTTGGGTGCCGCACCCCAACCCGCCCCCCCGTCGCCCGCTCTTTCTTCCGATGAGGACCCCAGTTCACCAAGCGAGATGCTGCTCTGTGTTTATTAGCTCTTGCTGGGATACATGAAGAGGTAGCTCATGGAATTTCACCCCCAGAACCCTTCTTCCCTTCCCCTCCTGGGTTACCTCTTAATTCCCCCGTGGGTTACCTCTGTAAGCTTAGGAATATTCCCCTCGGCTTTTTTCTTGCCCCCATGACCTCAGATAGTTATCTGTCTCTGTCTCCCTCCCTCCCTCCTTCCCGCAGTTCTCTCTAGGGAGGAGAATTATGAGTAAGGACCTAGCCAAGATCCGGTTCTTCTCGCTTAGCAGATGGCAAGTTCCACTGCAGAATGGTTTTCTCCGAGGCAGGGAGGAGTGCAGGTGTGGGACTCTGATGAAGAACAGCTGGCCTTAATCAGGCTTGGTGACCTGGAGATAGGGATCGTTTCTGGGGCGCATAGCAGGTGCTCATGAAATACCTGTCGCATTGGTTCCTAGGCTCTCCGTCAGTGGCCCAGAAGTCAGAACTGCCCCCCCGCACCTCCAACCCCACTCGATCTCGCTCCCACGAGCCAGAAGCCATCCACGTCCCACATCGAAAGCCCCAAGGCGCGGACCCAGGCTCCTTCCAGTTCCTTGACGCCCCCTTCGCCAAGGCCTCGGAGGTCCAGCAGCGGCTCCGGGTCACCCAGGACGGGGGCAAGCACTTTGTGAGGTCCCCCAAGGCCCAGGGCAAGAGCGTGGGTGTGGGCCATGTGCCCAGAGGGGCAAGAAGTAAAGCCCCTCTGGGACCCACCGTCTCTGCAGTGTCCCCCTCTGCCCACCTGGCCGCCAGCCCGGCCCTCCTCCCCACTCTTGCCCCCCTCGGGCACAAGAAGCACAAGCACCGAGCCAAGGAGAGCCAGCCGGGGTGCCGGGGCCTGCAGGCGCCGCTGGCCGTGGGCAGCACCGTCGTGGGGCGGGACCACCTGAGGGAGCTGCCCGCCGTGGTGGTGTACGAGAGCCCGGCCGGCCAGGCGGTCCAGAGACACGAGCATCACCACCACCACGAGCACCACCACCATTACCACCACTTCTACCAGACAT